GGGCCCAGCTCAGTCCTTGTAACTTTTCATTCTTCTGTTCCAATTGCATGATTGGTGTTGTTTCCATTTCTGAGGTTGGAGTCACTGCATGTCACCTTTCTGGCTTTTCTTACTTCACTTTGCAGTAGTTAATGTAGATTTTCCCAGACTTGTCTGTATTCATTGCATTCATCTTTTCTTACAGCATAGTATATCCCATTACATTCATGTCCCATAACTTGTTGGGCCACTCCCCAGTCAATGAGCATTTATTTGCATGTCTTATTATCCCTTGTATTAAATTATATATTCCTTGGAGGTAGGGAGTATGTATTTTTTTTTCATCTTGGTATACCCACAAACAAGCATAGTGACTTGCACATAGTAGGAATTAAATAAATGTTTATTGAATCAAGTTGAATTTCCATTACCCTGTGGGTCACCCCTATGGTATTCTGTGATCCACATCCCTATAATATCCTTGGGAGAACATTGGCATTAAAAAAAGATGGGTTTTTTAGCAAGGAGCAGTCTGGGACCATCAAAAGCATTGAGCAATTTCCCAAATGCAATTTCCCCAAATGGGATTTAAGAGAGTGTAAAAAGATAAAAATAAAATAAGATAAAGGGAAAGGAAGAACCAATGAAAATAAATGAAACTGCAGTAAGAGTGAGGAAAGGGACTAAAATGTGATTTAAAGTACTGTGGCCACATGGAGGATAATCTGCTCACATAATTCATCCAAATCTTGTTCAGTCATTCTTGGGCAGTTGTCATACTCCAGCAAGCCAATGGGTAACCAGAAGGCAAAGTCAACTGGATAATCACTCCAGTGTGAATCAAGACCTATTTGTTTCCTTCTTGCTTCTTCTTTCTCCATCATAGCTGATGATAATGGAAAACCTGCATGTGTGTTTCTTCTCTTCCCAAGCTCGACCAGTTAAGTTTTGTCTGAGGGCTAGGGAGTAGCTCTAGGAAGTTAGAAATGAAATACTTGCAGTCAGATCACAACTCATTTCCAAAATTATATCCAGGTTTCTGGTGAATCCATTTGACCAGAGGATGCTCTAATATTATTTTCAATATGATCAAGAGGAAGAATAATAAGGGAGTATTCAAGTATGTTCTAAAAATAATCTTTCCTGTGATGGGGGTTCATGCTTGTTCTCCAGTAAAGCTATATCATATGCACATTATGCCCAACTAAGAGAATATCAAGGTCAGGGCTGATATGTAGGCACTGGATTACAACAGTTTCTTTTAAGACAAATGTTATTATAGTTAACTCTTCTAAATAGCAGAACTTTCCTCCAATCAGCTCAGTTACCAGTAGAAGATGCATCAGCCTGTCTTCCTCTAGTCATCATACTATATTCTTTTCAAGCAGCAAGGGGTAGCCTAATTTCTATTTGTTTGGCTACTCGTACTTTTTCTGTTTCTATCTCCACCATCTGCTTCTCTCTCTGTGTACCTCTTCTGTCTTGTTTTCTTAGCTTCTGTGCCTCTTTTGCTTTAAAGAAAAGCTTCCTCATGTGTAATGATTTACTTTTATATTATGGTTAGAGAGCAAAATTCACACTTCTATCAGACCCACTAGAGAAAAGCAATATATAATTGTCCCACAGTTAGCAAAAAAATGTCATGATTATAAAGATTCCATATGATTAGAGGATCAATTATTCAGAGTTGAAAAAGTCCTTAGAGACACACCATCAATTGCAATGTTCTAATTTTATAGGTAAGGAAACCAAAGTACAGAGAGGTTGACTGGCTTGGGCAGAGTCCTAAAGCCAGTGAGGATGTGAGGAAGGCTTTAAACTTAGGGCTTTCTGGCTTTAATTCCAATACTCTAATCACTCTGACATTTATGTCTCCCTACCGCTATAATCTATCACCCTCAAAGTCCTCATAACAGTCATTTGGTTTCCTTTGACAGGCTGCTTTCCTTCAGGTCCTCACAGAGGCTTTTGTTTCCCCAAACACTATTCTAACGCTGCTTTTTTTTACAACATTTCTCCATATATGTCTTTGTTTTATCCCTTTCAATAAATAAAAATGTCCAAATAAGAAAGCACCACTTTATACTTAGATTATCAATCAGTCTAATCCAGAACGCATTTATTTAGCGGTGACTTATGCAGGGCAATGTGGCTTTGTGAAGCCACAATGAAAAAAGAATTTAAGTTGTCTTAAGAATCTACATTTGCTTTGTTGCATACAAATACACACATAATTCCAGTGCAGAATAACAAGTAGGGGCTTGAGGAAACAAGCTCATGTAGAGGTAAAACTGATGAAATTGGAAACTGATAGGAAAGAGTGATATCAGTTCAACACTTATTATGGATTTAAGAAGAGGTTTGGAGGCTTTGGTGTGGACTACTTTGGCAACCAAAACCATCACTGACAACACTTTTATGTAGTCTGGCTTCAAATACAGGCTCTGGTACATACTACTGGGAGTGTAGTCCTGGGCTAGAGGTACTTGCCTCTCTCCCTCTTTATGCCTTTACCCCTCAATTTAAAATGAGGGCTTTGTCTTAGGTAATCTCTGAGATCCATTGCTGAGAACTAATTCTGTGATCCTAATAATGAATTCTGAACTCTGAACAAGAAATTTACAAAATTGTTCTTTACAAACTAACTATAAGGGGCTTCCTGGGTGTAGGATTTGTAAAAGTTCACAAATACAAAAAAAAAAAGCAGAAAAGCCTTCACTATCCCCCACTGCCTCCCAATATCCTAAACTAATAAAAGAAAAATCCCTCAATTAATTTCAAGCTTCACTTTACATGCAAAGGGGTATTCTAAACCCCTTAATTCCTGGGAATTCCCCCTTTCCCACACTCAAAAATAGCACCTGAGAGCAAGATCTAACATTCTGGATTCCACATAACATCATCTGCCTCCAAAATGATTTTATGTAATGTAGGATTTTTTTTAAAAAAAGATGAAAGTCAATCAGTATAAATAGCAAGTCTCTCTGACTACTGTTCTCTGCTGGAGCATCACCCTCCCATGGAAGTGACCCTGGGTACTTACAAGTTATGACTGGCATGGAAAGCTCTATCGAAGTCTGGTGATGGAATGCAAGGCTGGCATCTAAAGAGCAAACTCAGTAAGTGATGAGATTGCTCACCACACTGGCTAAAAAGCAATGGGTGTTCAACCATGGCAACTCATCAAGACCGTGCGCTAAGCCATACAAGGATTGTAATTTGCACCATCAGCGGAATCACCGACCCTAATGAAAACCCAGTTCCTGGAAATATTGGAGTGTCAAAGAAAATGCAAAATTCTTCACTCAGGTTCAAAAAGTCAATAACACAAAGACAGACTGGGGAGACGTAACTTAATATAAGGTAACATGGGGAAAAAAGACCTGGAGATTAGAGAACTGCAATCTCAGGTGAGATAATAGGATGATGTGGCAGCCAAAGTCCTGTGGCCTCAGGTAATCCATTATTAATAGATGTGGAATGTTCAGAAGAAGGGGCATAAATAGCCTGTTTGTACTGTATCTTAATCAAGTCATGTTTAAAGTACTGCATTTCATTTTGCTAGTTGCAATTTAGAAAGGATAAGCTGGAGAGCATCCAGAGGAAGGTGATCAGATCTTTGTTTTAGTAATATTCAGAACCTCCCCGCCCCAAGTCACAAATGGGACAGATGAAAGACATGTGGGTATTTCCTAGTGTCTCCTCACTCTCTTCGACTAATGCCTTCCCCTTTCAGATAATCTTTATACACATACACACATATACACACAAATCTATACATTCTGTACACACACACAGACACACAAATTTTCCCTGAACATTCTATACCCTATGTGTGTGTGCGTGTGTGTTACACACACACACACACACACACACACACACACACACACACCTAGGTATTTACATATTGTCTCTCCTATTAAAATGTATACTCCTTGAGAGCAGGGACTATTTTTTTATTCTTCCTTCGCACCCAAAGCACCAGCACATTCAAAGACCTTAATAAATATTTGTTGACTAACTTGCAGTTTAACTTGAAGAAAAGAAAACCGAGAGAAGGGACACAATCACTGTTCTCAGTGTCTGAAAGGTTGTCAGGTAGAAGATGGCTCTCTCTGTGTTCTAGAATAATAATGTGTGTACCTATAAATACAAATGTGTGTACATATGTGTGTATATATGTGTGTATACATACACATAATACATATACATATATGTGTGCATGTAGTTTTAAGAATTGGAAAACACTAATGAATGGTTGGAAATTATAGGGAGTTAGATTCCAGTTCAGCAAACAAGAAGCATCTAATAATTAAAGCCATTAAAATTGAGTAGAATAAGGTCCCCCTTTATGCAGAGTAAGCTGCCCATTGCTGGCAGTGTTTGAGAAGGGACTGGATGGCCACCTGTTATGTCCAGCATCTTGGGAAAGATTCCACCACTAGCACAATGGCCCACTAGGAGCCCGAGGTTTCAGATAAACAATTACTACAGTAAAAATGATTGTTATTTTGAAGTAAAAGCAGGTCTAAGGCAGGTAAAAGCACCTACAAGGAAGTTCTGTGATATCTTGCTCAATCTGCAGAGTGGTCCTTATCTATTTTTTGCCAAATGGGCTCCCAGTCATGTTTCAGATCAATCCTGTTGGTAAGAAGTCAATTCAAACTTTTGTGTATCTATTACATTTTATCTTGTCTCACAACAGTTCTGAGGGGAGGGAAGAATCAACTTGAGTTAATAGGAGGATGGGGGTTCTGTATGACAACATCTTCATCCACACCAAATAGGACAGAGGAAATCCACCTTTGGGCCCAGGTACAGATTGAAGGGTTTTGGAACTGAGGATCTCTATGGTCCCAAATAGGAATTCTAGTACTTGGAAGAAAATTTGGTTCAGTGAGATGGGATGAGGAACCCAAAGACACTTCCTCACTGGAGGGAGGAGGGAGTAGGATTGGAAAAATGTTAAACTTATGGAGGCAACTTTAAGAACCTACTACTCAATGATCCTGTTTCCCCAGACCCCGAATTTATGAACAAGCTGGCTCTGTCCTGTAAATTTTACACATGAAATTTGGCCTCCCTGGATCATGCCATCTAATGCAGAGTGAGTCTGACACTTATTTCTTAGATGTAAGCTATAGAGTGTGGATAATTAGAGGCACAAACCCCCTCCAGATTTCTTGTTCTTTTGTTTCCCAGGTCTTCTGAGTTTGTCTCCTGGTCTGGTAACCTCTCTTCTGTCTGAAGACATGTCTTTATCTTTTCCTTCTCTTCATTAAAGGCCATGCATGAGGAGGCTGTAATTTGTCAGAAGTAAAATGGTAGGGTTGGCCAGCAATGCCACAGTTGACTAGCACCCAGAGAACTGTGACTTCCCCATCTGAATGGAGCTGAGGGTTTTAGGAGGATGCACACCATGGGAATGCTAGAAGATAGCAGCAGCTGACAAATTGCTATGGAGAGGGAGGGAAAGAAAGGAGGTGGGGAGATGGAAAAGAAAAGAAAAAATTCTATAGACATAATGAATTTTTAGGAGCTAGGTCTCCAAGTCATGCAGTTATTCAATGAAAGAACAATCTAGCAGGGATTCCCATGCTGATATCTTTAAATTCAAATGTTCTAATAGTGAAACAAAGATAACTGTACCACTCAAATATCTGCACTAATGGAAGGAATGAGTGGTGTCGATAAGCCATATTTTTCTAGAAAGGGTACTGTAGCATCTTAGAGATTTTTGATTCACTTAATAGAGGATAGACTCTGGATTTTGAGAACTGATGATACCTTAAATAAAGAAAAATAACTCACTTTCTGAGGTTAGTATCTGAAGCTTAATACATCCCAAAATGGATGTATCATCTTTCTCCTTCCAGCTGTCCTTCTAGGAAATGTCCCATTCTTTGCATGGCTCTGCCACCCTTTGATCCACCCAGGTTTGCAACTCCTCCCTCTCTTTCACGCTCCGTTTCCAAATGGCCACCATGACTTGTCAATTGCACTTCGATCATAACTTCCACATCATTCACCCAACTGCAAGACCACCCCAGGCCCTCAGCAGGCATCTCCCAGACTATTGCACTGGCCTTCTCACTGACTTTCAGGATTCCAGTCTCTCCTCTTGCCAATCTATCCTCCACTGGGTTGCCAAAGTGATTTTCCTAAAGTACAGCCTTGATTATGTTGTTCCCTTATTCATGAGCTTTCAATGGCTGCCTATTACTTCTAGGACAAAATGCTAACTTAATTGGTCACTTAACACCATTCACAATTTAGCCCCAGCCTAATTTCCTAGATGTTTTAAAATTAATTCCATTTTTACAGTTTGTCATCCAGGCAAACTGTCCTCCTTACTACTCCCCCAACTCAGCATTTCCATTTCCTCTTCCTTGGGACAGGATGCCCCATATGCCTAAAATGTACTCTCTCCTGTATCCTACCCTTAGAATTTTTCATTTCCTCCAAGGTTCATATCAGATGCCATTTACTTCTCAGATTTTCCTAATCTACCTGGAAATAGGCATCATGGGGATCTTTAGAAGAACAATGAGAGAGATTTAGGGCTCCAAAATCTAGCTAGAATATAAAGAAGTACACAATCTGGGCCCAAACCACCTTTGTAGCCTTATTATACATGGATCTCTTTTATTCATGCAATAGTCCAACCAGATTGACTTTCTTGCTATTCCACATACATAATGCTCCATTTCCTATCTCTGTGCTTTTTCATGATCTGTGCTCCATGCCTGGAATGTACTTCTTCCTCACCTCAACCTCTTAGAATTTCTAGCCTCCCTCAAATTTCAGTTCAAATGGCACCTCCTAATTTTCCCAATTCCACTCCCCCGACTACCTCATACCTATTTTGAATATAATTAGATGTATACATTTTATCTGCTCTAATAGAATGTAAGCTCCTTAGGGCAGGGACTCTATTTTTGTCTTTCTATCTTCAGCACCTAGCCCCTAATATTTCATAAATGCTTGCTGACTACTAGATAGGATCTAATTTAGGAGTTAAAAGTTGGAGGGCAGAAAGCCCTACACATAACAGTTACTTAGCGAATGCATCTTTCATGGAAGGACCCAGGGTTCAGAGCCTAGCTGCCCTCAGAATGGCCAGAGAATCTGAAAATAGTGCCTGGAGGAAAGATTAACAAGATGGCCACTATAAAAAAAAGTAAGGGCAACGTACATTTCTATAGTGCTTGACAGCTAGTACTCTCATTAATATTGACTTTCTCATGTAGTCCTTATGACATCCTTGTGAAGTTGGAAAGGCAGGTAATTATCCACATTTTAAGATGAAGAAACTGCCCAGAGTGTTCAATGATCTCCAACTGTTTCCTGGTATGAAAGCTCATCTCATAAACCTGCCTATTCTCCCAGGGAAGCTCCGTGGCTGAATCATGGAACACTGTGATCTTCCTAGGCTCATAGATATGGAGCCCCAAGGGACCCCAAAAGTCATCTAGTTCAACTTTTTCATTTTACAGATGAGGAAACTGAGGCCCAGGGGGGTTAAATGACTTGCCTAGGATCATATAACTAGTAAGTGTCTTGGGCAGCTTCCTTCCTTCCTTCCTTCCTTCCTTCCTTCCTTCCTTCCTTCCTTCCTTCCTTCCTTCCTTCCTTCCTTCCTTCCTTCCCTCCCTCTGTCCACATGTGGAATCAGACTCTTACATGTGGGTGCTTTGCCCAAAGCAATATAAATTTTAATTGCTTAAACCCCACAAAATATCTTGTGATTTGGGGGCTAGATTTTTTTTCTCTTCCCTACTTATTTATTCTATTTGCTTTTTAAAAACTGGGACAATTAACTCTTCTGTTCCATGTAGTTTCATTTATGATTTCTGGAAATAGAGCTCTGCAAAACTAGGCATGGATAAATCCCATTGGGATTCAAATGGAGCTGCTTGACCATGCATTAAACCCAAATCACTGGCTCTCACTGATTGGCCAATAATAGGTCCCAGCCCCAGCCTCACTTGGTCACTGTTCCGATTTTGATGGCTCACGATGAGTGTAAATAGCAATTGCTTCTGTTCTGGCCAGAAACAATGAGGATCTTCCCCTCCCAGATTGATTTTTTTTTCCAGTAGGCAAACTAGATCATTTTTGTGTTATTTCTTACCTAGCCTTAAATCACTGAATGGGTATTGCCTTAGACAAACTGAGACCTGGGAAAGACCTTAGCTTAAAAAGGCCAAGGTTTCCTACTGCAGCTGGGGTCATCTCCAGTTGTCCTGACTTATGTCTTGCCATAGGACTCAGATGACTCTGCAGGAGAGAGTGAGACTAACTACTTTGCAAAATGCTGCTGCACTTAAATCCAATTCATTTACAATTCAAGACATCACCCACCTGATGCCATTGGTCCCTTTCTAGAATGAAGGATGAAGAACAACAGTCTGAGGCAGGATCTGAACTCAGATCTTCCACTGATTAGATAACTGTTCAGCACTGATTTCCTCACTGTGGTTTTGTCTCTGTTCTGAACTTTTATTTTGTTACGCAAAGAAGCTCAGCCTTTATTCACCATGTCTCAAGTAAGAAAATGAGGTTGGGAAATCCTGGATTGGCAAAGGCAGAGATGAGAGATGGATATGAGGGGTGACTACTAGAACGGGAGGAACCTACTGCTGCTAGTACAGATGGAGGGGTGCAGAAAACAGTTGAGAGTGGGAGGCAGGGTTTTTAGCTCAGGACTGACAAAACAATTTAACCTGTGAACTGTAGGAGGGAGAGAACAGAAGGTCAGATTTCCACAAAGAAGGACTAGAATTTCTCAGTGATTAGGAAAGTATCAGGGCCCAGAATGACAATCCAGTACTGATAATCAGGCCAGGGTTAAAAACCAGTTAAAGAATAAAGACGACTGAGAGGCCAAGCTAAGCTCACACCAAGATTTCTTTGAAGCATCGGGATCCAGTGTAAAATGATTGGGAGGTGGTCACTAGAGTAGAGGCAGAGGCAAGTATTGGGTCAGGAGAAAAGACAGTCGAGAAGCATTTATTAAGCACCTACTATGTACTAGGCATTGTGCTAAGCAGTGGGCACACAAAGACAAAAGACAGTTTCTGCCCTTAGAGAACTCACTGTTGAATGAGGAAACATACATGGCTATACTCTTCAAATATTTATGGACCTGTTTTAGAGAAATCAGATTACATTTATTCTGCTTGGCCCCAGGGACAGAACCAGGAAGAATTGTTGCAGAGAAGAGCTTTAGATTTGACACAAGGAAATATTACCTGAGAATTAAAGTCGTCCCAAAGTATAATGAGTTGCCTTAGGAGGCCCTGAGTTCCTTATGACTGGAGGTCTTTAAGCAAAGGCCGGATGACTATGCGTTGGCAATGCTGACAGTGGTGATTCTTGTCCAGAAATGGGTTGGGCTAGGTGGCCTAGTAGAATGTAAACTCTCTCAGGAGACAGAGGGTACCTTTCCATCCCCTCCCTTTCAATTCTTCTTTCTCCCTTTTCACCATGTCTCCTCTATTCCTTTCTTTCTTCTCCTACTCTCTCCTTTCCCCAATCCTCCCTTCCTCTCTCCTCTTGTTGCCTCTCCTGTCTTCTCCTTCTTGTTTCTCCTACTCTTTCCTCCTCTCTCTCTCTCCTCTCTTCTATCTCTGTCTTTTACTCCTCCTCTTCCCTCCTCCCAAAGAACCCGCTACTGCATGCAGCACAAAAAGACACTTACTATTTGTTGAGTTGAATAATCTTTGAAGTCCCTTCTAACATCAGAGATTTTGTGATTTGGGAAAATAAGGCATTATTGACTGCACCCAACCTCTCCTCCCAACAATTTGGTTTTTTATAATGACAACTTGCTTATCTGCCCCTACTCTGTATTCAAATACCATTTTAGTCACAACTGGGCTTACCATCTCCATCCTGATTCAGCCATGCTGGGGAGTCTGTTGTTTCAGATAACTATGATCTATAAGTTGATGGTAAAAGTGGGAGAAGCCCAATGGGGGATTTGATATCAGCAAACTCTACAATTTTCTAACAGTAGCACAGCTTGGCTGTAAGACAGGTAAGCCTGTGTCTCTGAAATGTTCTTTTGTTGCACAGGTACAAAGATACAGTGGAATCAGTCAGAAAATAGTGTGTGAGTCCCATCCATACATCAGCTTATGGTCTGCAAACAACAGGTAAATGTATGGCAGCTTTTAAAACTCCTAGACGATGACAATTTTCAATCAGTAATGCTTTCCCTTTATGGGAGCCTGCAGCAAAAGAACAATAAAGAATTGTTGGCCTGCTCTCATTCTCTTCAAATTCAGTGTGTTTGATTCACTTATATCTGCCATGGTAGATGGTGGGAAGTGTCACCAGGATAGACTGGCTCCACTAGTATCATAAAACTGTTCAGGACATGGACTGTTCATCAATGAGCTCGATGAGAAAGACACTAAGTCCTTCTGAAGCAACTTCTTCACTTAAATACTCCCCCTCTCCACTATCTCTATCTATACATCCAATCCCACTCCAGTAGAAAAAGACTCAGTTTGACTGTGTATTCATCATACCATCCTTGTCATCATTTTAATGTAACATTTGAGAGTTATAAAGCATTTTATCTCCAGCATCTCCTTGGATCCTTATAACAAAAAACAGATCTTGACTCCATTTTGCATATTACTGTAGAAGGTGGCTTAGCTTAAGTGTCCTTGTTCAGCTATTTCAGCCATGTCCAACTCTTTATGACCCCATTTGGGGGACATATACTGATTTACTAGAGTGCCATTTTCTTCTGTAGCTCATTTTACATGAAAAAGTGAGGCAAATGGGGTTAAGTGACTTGTCCAGGATCACACAGCTAGTAAGCGTCTTAGGCTGGATTTGGACTCATGAAGATGAGTCTTCCTCATGCCAAGCCCAATGCTCTATCCATTGTACCACCCAGCTGCCCCTAGCTTAAGTACTTAGATTTTAAAACAGCATTTTCCATTAGATTTGAAGTGAGGGAGAAAACATTATGGCTTCATCCCCATTAATATCTATAACTACAAGTTATTATATTCTTCTGTTTATAGGAAGGCACAGACCAGGTGTTGAAGTACCCGTGCATACCCTTGCTCAAGGCACAAAGTGATGTTGTTGGTGCCAGTGCTGTGCCTGGAGGCGGGAAGACCTAAGTTCAAATCAGGTTTCAGTCACTTACTGACTGCGTGACCCTGGGCAAGCCACAAGTTTCCTCAATTGGAAAATGGGGATAACAATAGCCCCCACCTCCCAGGGATGTTGTGAGGATCAAATGAGATAATATTTGTAACATGATTATCACAGTGCCTGACACATAGTGGGTGTTTAATAAATGCTTGTTCCTTTTCCCTCCTTTACTATCCTTCCCCTACCCCCACTGATAATGTTGTTTCTGCAATTGAAGGTTATCTTAATTTAGCAATTCTGGGCCTAACAGACATTCTAACTAATTAATGTATATAAGATACACGTATCCATTAGAGAGGTGTGGGGAGAATCTTTCTAAAGAAAGGGATTTTTCCCCAGCTGGCCAACTTGTTTGAATAAAACTCTGAGCAAATTGTCTGCCAAACAGAGAGTAGGTTTTATTCCAATTAAGAAATTAATTAAAGACATTAAGAAATTAATGCTCCAGAAGGAAAAGTATCTCATCTAGAGCCACACAGCTAGTAAATGACAGATAGGAATCAGACCTACCTCTTTTCTTTTCCTGTGCTTGTCAGTAAGCATTGGGCTACAGATAGCGACACCTTCTGATCTTTTCACTGGGGAACCACTACTATGGAACGTGGCCACAGCACCCCAATTTTATAGTTGTCTTTCTTTCCCTTGTGTATGTCTCCCCTTCTGTTTCTCTCTCTCTCTCTCTCTCTTTATACACACAGACATACAGACAGACAGACAGACAGACACACACACACACACACACACACACACACACACACTCCCAACAGAATGCAAATTCCTGGAGGTCAGGAACTAATTAATTTTTGTCTATAGCACCACAGTCTAGTCTGACACATAGTGGGACATCTCCTTAATGTTTGCATGACTGATTGAGAGATGAAGCTATGTTACAGTTCTGTTTGATTCAAATTCTGAAATAATTCCAATATCTATCTTTTCTGACAAAAAAGGTAGATGAGTTAATATAAAGTTAATCTAATTTGATCATTCAGCTCTCCCTACCCCAAGTTAGATGATGCACTGCTTTTCTATTTCAAGATAAGTGTGCAGTCTTGTGCCTCCCGCTTCTTATCAGGGAAACATAGGGATGGATTTTAGAGATTTGCTTCCAAGCTATGCTTAGGTCTAGGACTTTTTTCCGCCGGTGACTCTCAGCTCTTCCTATGGCTCTTTCCTGTCTTTTCCCATCCCTTATTTCCTATCTTTGGACACTCAGTTGTCCTAGGAGAAGACTAGGCTTTTATACACACCACAAACCAAGCAGAGATTTCTTTTCTTTCTGTTCAGCGGGCTCCCTCCAGGTGTAATCTGTGTGTTGTCACACCTCAGTTATAGTTGTTGGACAGAGTATAATTCTCTAGTGAACAATTATTTAATTACCAAATATCTTATTCCTTCAAGGGCATGATATATCGAGTATTATTAGGTGGTTATCTCCTCTTACTCTCATTTATTCAAAGAACATTTTTAAAAGCATCTTCTCCAAGCCAGACACTGTACTAGGTCTTGGCGATTCCAGGCAAACCAATAAACAAATGACCCCCGCTTCAAGGAAGGCACATTCAAGGACTATGGTCCTGGTGTTCAAGTCAGAGTGTGCTCCCTGAGAGTGTGGAGCTGTCATTTCTCACCGTCGGGATGTTTACTGCTTACCCCTACTTCTGTTGCTAGTGCTGATGTTGCCCATTACTTTGCACTGGCTTCTTCTGGGATCTTTTCTTTGCTTTTCCTCAGTATTGTCTTTTCCAATCTCTAATCCACTTTCCCCTGATGCTCAGTTTTTGCATGAAAAGGCCATCCATTTATAGCTATCACTAGCCAAGCAAAATGTTCTTTTCTTTAAATACTGCAAACCAATCCATTGAGGGATGACAGATGTAATCTTTGGGGCATCCCTTCTTCTTGCCTTTATCTTATGTTGGTTTCTCGGGATCTGTTCCCCCTCTCCCAGCTTCTTGACAAAGAAGTAGGTGTGGTATGGTATGTTGTGCTACTGTATAAAGTGTGTGTGTGTGTGTGTGTGTGTGTGTGTGTGTGTGTGTGTAGTTTCAGCTACTTTCCTGTCTGGAGGCATTCTAGAAGTCTTAAGTTTTGTGAAAGTCAAGTTCCTAGTAGCCGAGATTTTCATGTATATGTCGCAGCTAAGTAACATTTACGAATGCACATATGGAATTAAAAAACTACTTGAGGGCAGGGATCATATTTGTCTCCATTTTTACATGTACAATATGGTGTCCTGAATATAGTAACAATTTACTAAATATTTCTGTCAGGGTCCTTTGGCTACTACTGACCAGGGGTGGGGGGGGTGGTATGCTCTCTTAGACAAAGGAGACAAAGCAAAGTGAAAGCAAGGAAAAGAAGAAAAGTAAATGGGCTCAGAATGTAGCAGTGTAACAGTGGGCATCATCTGGGATAATAGAAAGTTGTAAACAAATTTTGTGTTCAATAATTGGGGAATGGTAAAGACATTATGGTACATGAACGAAATATTACTATGCTATTAAAGAAGAAGAATGGGAAGAGTGTGGAAGAACATGGAAAGGTATGGATTAAATGTAACAGATTGAATAAAGTAGAGCCGAAGAATTATATACACAAGACAAGAAAACCAATGAAGTCACCATGGAGAGAAAATACAACTCTGGTCAAATATAATGTTAAAATTCAGTCAATCCCATACTATCAAAGCTAAAAGACAGAGCCTTATTTTTTTTCTATCAATAATCAATTAATCCCTCATACTTCCATTATTTGGGTATTTCTAGGGAATTTTTCTCATGTCAAAACAAAATATATCATGAAAATAACACACACAATGTAATAGGTAACCTTAAAATATAGAGTTATTACTCCCTATCCCTGTGATGAACTTTGAACCTAGGACCTCAGGGAACTCAGAGCAAAATCCAATACATACAATTTTCTCAGGAACACACACACACAACACATGGGAAAACAAACACATACTGAAAGACATCCAGGTAACCAGACATTCCAGAGCTGAACAACTCCAAACAAAAGTCTCTCCTTCCTCTCTTTTCTCTCCTTCATGTCCACACCCTCAGCTCTCTAACAGTTTTAAGTGCTGTTTTGGAATAGAAGTCCAAAGAGCTGAGTTCTTTCAGTTATTAGATGAGGCTTATAAGACATCTCAGTGTTCCTGAGAGAGTTCTTCTACTCCTTGGGACTACAGGTAGCAGCTGTTACCTTCCTGACCTCACTGCTCATTTATTCTGCCTCCTTAATTGTGATACCAATTTGCTGAATTGCTGAAGGTAGAAACTCAAGGGTCATCTTTCAGAAGCGGCTATACATAGACGAGAGGATCTGGAAAGGGAGAAAGTCAAGGAAAGAGGAGGGATAAAGCAAAATGACATGAGGGACAGGAACAGAAGAGGCAAGAGAGACAAGGGAAAGAAAAGAGGGAGGGTGAGGATGTGGGATGCAACAAGAGAAGAGGCAAAGTGAAAGAAGAGGAAGGGAATGTAAAGGAAAGCCAGGGAGAGGAGGCCTGAATACATGGTAAACTGGAGATTCCATGAATGAAGATAGTTTAAAAAATTAATGTAGATCCATAATTGGGGTATCCGAGTTAGCCAAACCTTAATAACTTAAAAGACAACCCAAGACTTTAATTTCAAGTGAGAGAAAATTCTGAGGATGAAATCTACTGAAAATTTTCATTTAATTAAAAGTTTGGGTTACAATTAGGGACATTTATTATTAATTCCAAATATTTACTAGAACCAATGTACTGGTCACATGCTATGGTCTTAGGGCTGAGTTTAGTGGTCTTTCTTTACAGCTAGTAACATTAATGGTTCATGCTAGGCACACAATAGCTGCTTCATAACTACTCAGTTGGGGAGGGGTACGTGGGTTAACAAGTTAGTTAAATGATTATGTTTGTAGATAGAGTTCAATGCATTGGAAAAGAACTGAGATATGTTCATGAATTGCTGCCATCACAGGGTCAATCACTGAGTGAACCTACTCAAGGGACCCACGACAGGTAAGAACGTTTCAGGGAGTCTTTAAAAATTTGGAAGATAGAAGAGCACTATATACAATACTCAGTGTGTGATAGGCATACCTGGTAAATAACTGACTGACTGACTGACTGACTGACTGAATGATAATATCAGCAATACAAAGCATGTGGATTTGCATTCAGGTGCTCTGGACCCCAAGGACAGTGCTGTGTTCTACTTTCTACTGTGTGACCTGCTGTCTTATGTATGAGACCAGAGCTGGTCAGGTTACCGGGGGTCGGGGGGAGGTGCAGACACTGAAGCCAGCTTCGAGCTGCCTGGGCATTCTGGCTGGGCTCTCTCAGGGTACAGTTCTGATACTTCATCTGGCCCACCTAGGTCTGATAGTAAACATGCCCTTTGAGTAGAAACTGCCTTTCATTTCTGCACTGCCAATGAAAGAGAGGCAGAATTACATAGTGGTTAGAGAAATGGACTTCAATTCAGGAAGACTTGAGTTCAAATCCTGCCTCAGACACTTCCTAATCTTGTGACTCCAAGGAAGTTACTTAACCTCTGTCTGCCTCAGTTTTATCATGTGTAAAAAGAGGACATTGTACTCAATGACCTCTAAGGAAACTTCTGGCTCGAAATCTGATTATATGACTCATAAGCATAATCAATTTCAACAATAAGACTGCATTTAACCTCAGACCACTTTCAGCCCCTTTCTTCTGAGAAGTTTCCTTTTCAGATACTAAGAGAATTCTGATCATGGCTTATTCTGGTATTTTTATTTCCATTATGATCATTTATATTCCAAAGTGACCTGTTATAGTCTCTACCACTATCCAGGTCAGCTGCCCTGCCTTTCCAGCCTGAACCAACATAGCATGGGGCTAAGGAGCTGGAAGTACATTGATATGCTAGTTAGAATTAGGAAATTCTCCTTATGGCTGTGCCAAAAAGGGAGCCTTTGCTCCCTCTCTGATGGCTAGGGAAGATTCAGCTGACACTTCTATCTTGTTAGAAAGCTTAATGGTCCTTAATTAAAATGTCTGTTGAAGGTTCTCCACTTAAGAGGTGCCTCTCAGAAAGGAGGTGCCACCTGCACTTGAGAATGGATCCCTTGTGGGAATTTGATGGTAACTTCCTTCTAGGTCAGAGGCTAAGACTAAGAGGAGTAGTAGTAGTAGTAGTAGTAATAGCAGCAGCAGCAGCAGCAGTAGTAGTAGTAGTAGTCATAGTGGTAGTGGTAGTGATGATGATGATGGTGATGATGATAATGATGATGGTGATGGTGATGATTATAATTATGATAATTTCTTTAGCTACGGCTATTCCTTGTCTTACTGTAGGTAGCAGAGAAGGAATGATAGGAACAGGTGCCAGACTTGTAATTATATTAGTATGGGGCAGTATTGGGTGAAGAAACTCTCTCTATTAATGCAGGTTGGCACCTTCTTTGCAACCTTAGAGAGAGGCCTGAGTCACAGAACTCAAGTAACTTTCCCAGGGCTATAAAGCAAGAATGGATCAAGGGCAGGATGTGAACCCAGGTGTTCGCATCTCTGAGGCTGGCTTTCTGCTGACAAAGTAGTCAGCAGGGAAGAAGTCAGGAATAAAAATGCCACAAACAATGACAGCTGGCACTTTCAGGTTTACAAAGTACTTTACATATATTAGCTATTTAAGCCCCACAGGAAGTAGGTACAAAAGGTATTACTACCCCATTTCACAGAAGAGAAAACTGAGGTTCACTAGAAGGTGAGTTACTTGCCCAAGGTTATACAGCTAATAGGTATCAGAGGCACATTCGAACCTCAGTCTTCTTGACTCAATGTCCAAACCACATCATCAACTTACTATCTACGTAATACTAAGTGAGTCATTTAAACTCTTTGTGCCTCATTTTCCTCATTGGTAAAATTCGGCGGTTGGATTGGATAGGCTCTAGGTTCCCATCAACCTCTAGATCTATGGTCCTATCTGTGTGACCTTGAGAAAGTCTCTTCTACTCTCTGGGCTTTAGTTCCTTCTTTTGTAAAATGAGGAGGTTGGACATGGCCTCTGGACTTCCAGCTCTCGAGATAGAATTCTATTATCTCAGCTATTTGGCCTTGGCTAAGTATTTCTCTTCTCTGCACCTCAGTTTCCTCATCTGTAAAATGAGAGATTTGATCTCTATGGCTTTAGACTGATGAACTTGACACATAATGCTGATAATAGGAGATGATGTTTCCTTGGTGTTTGAGGTTTGCAAAGCACTTTACAGACACTACTGCATTTGATCCTCACAGCAACCCTGAGAAGAAGATGCAAGAGGCCCTTTTATCCCCATTTTACAGATAAGGAGATTGATATCATCTTTGATTTTATATGTTAGATTGAAAGCTCCTTGAGAGCAGGAACTGCTCTCTTTTGTATTTGTATCTGCAGCACCTTGTACCATGCCCGACACAGCCGACAATAATCGCCTGATGGTTGTGTATAGGCTAGCTACAGTTAAAATAACCCCAATAAAAATCTGAGGCAGCAAAACACAGAGAGGGACAGAGTCAGAGTGACCTTGGGTTCATGTCTCTCCTGTGCCTCTTACTATACCGTGGACAAATCATTTCTGAGACTCAGTTTCCTTATTAGTGACATAGGCATCACTCAGTAAATATTTATTTAGCACATATGTATCAGACACCAAGTTTAAAAGGAAAAATAATAAAAGGGGGGCAGCAGTCTCTGACCTTTCAAGGGACCTAAACACCTACAGGAGAGACAACAGGTACATGCATAGCTGTGTATGAATGTATACACGTATGTATAAATACACATGTGCATGCAGTCACACTTATATATGCATACATGTATGCATACGTATACAGACACATACACACACACACACACACACATATATATGTATCATATACACACACATAAGATAGTCTAGGCAGGGATGGTGCTAGCAGTTGGTGGGATCAGGGAAGGCTTCAAGTAGAAGGTAATGTTTGAGCTAAGTCTTTGAAGGAAATCATTATTATAAGGGGGTAGAGAAGGGGGAGGAAGGTAATAAGCATTTATAAAGTACCAGCTATGTGCTTTACAAATATTCACTTACTTCATCCTCACAACAACCCTGAAAGGTAGGTGGTATTATTATCTCCATTTTACAGGTGAAGAAACTGAGGCACACACAGGTTAAGTGACTTGCTCAGGAGCACAGAGCTGGTAAATGTTGTAAGCTGGATTTGATTTCATGTCTTCCTGACTCCAGGCCCATCACTCTAACCACTGGGTCACCTAGCTGCTTTTATTAAAGCTGCACACACACCGACATGTACATGTATATGCCTACATATAAACACACACATATACACACATATGTTTATATATATATATATATATATATTTATATATTTATATTTCTACATTAAGTTATATTGAGAGGCAGTAGGTGTGTTGGGCAGAAAGCCTGCGTGTGCTTTGGGACCAAAAAGCTCCAGTTTCATGCTGTCTCTGATGTTTCCTGGTTGTGACTTCCTGCACATGAAGTGAATCTCTAAGACTAATCTGCAGAGAAGGTGCCCGTCTGTACCATTTGAAGGAGTTTCTTCATTTGGGAGTTCGTATGTTAATGAAATCATACATCTAGCCACCAACCTCCCTATTCCATTAAAAGAGAGAAGAAAAACAGTTGTCTTCACCAAATCCAGGCCACTTCTAGGAGCTCTACACATGTGTTTAGAATAGCCAGCCTAGTGTCTCCCTTCTTTATGCCTGGGACACTCTCCCTACCTTCCTTGCACCCCACTGCTCCTCATCTTTGCCTACTACATTACACCCCTGGCCTAGCTCACGTGATACCCTCTCTGTGAATCCTCAACTAATTTTCCCAACCAAAAGTTCCCAGCATCATCAATTCAGAGCCAGAAGGCTCCTCAGAGGCTGTCTGGCCCAACCCTCTCATTTTACAGGGGAAGAAATCAAGGCCCAGGGAGGTTAATTAATCTCTTCCTCCTCCAAACTCTTGTGGTATTTGCTTTCTACTTGTCTCATGAAGTTATTGTACAATAAGTTATTCTATTTATTTCTGAACATGTTTATCTCCTAATAAACTGTGGGTTCGGGAAGAGTAAGAACTATATCTTATTCATCCTTGTGTTCCCCCTGGCACATCACGCAGCATCTTGTTCTCAGTAAGTGTTCAATAAATGTCTGAATGAATGAATTCCTTTTCCTCTCTTAAGGTATGCAATTGTATCCTGAGGCAGAGTCAATTTCTACTCCAGGAGGTGAGTGCAGCACTGTGACAATTCCACCCAAACACCTTCTCTTAGGACTATGAGACCGCTGCATTTGCACTGGAAGGAATAGGAGGGAGAGACTTTAGAACATCGAATGAAAGGATTAAAGGGGACCTTGGAGATCTTCTGGTTGCCTTCTTCACTTTACAAATAGGAAGCTTTGGCCCTGAGAAGCATAATGACTTTTTTGACAGCACAGAAATCAGAGAATCAGAGATCAAAAGCAAACATTGGTGGCCATTCAGAATGGTTAAGTAACTTACTCAGGGTCCCCCAGCATGTAAGCCCAGATGCCTTGGCCTTAGAGCAGGGTTCTTTGTACTATGCCAGAATATCTTCACACGGGTTACCCAGCCACAGGGTGTGCCACAGATAGGACCCAAACCCAGCTCTTCCTGAATCCAGGGCCAGCCCTCCAATCACTGCATCACATGACCTCTCAATCATATCATCAATTATTATTATATCCTTCATCAAGATCCCTGGTTAGTTCATTCCAAACTCCACAAGTCTGGGCTGTCATTCAGAGATCCCAAGGTGTTGCTTTTAAATTTCATCAATTAGTCAAAATTCACTGCCTCACTGCTGAAGCAATCCATATACCATCTCCTTGTTCACAGGAATTAGAAAGATGTATATAGGTAGGAATTAAGAAATATTAAAAGTGCCATGAAAAGAGGAGTTAGTATGTATGTATACACACATACATACACACACACACACATGTATGTATATATACACAAATAGATTATATATTTAAAGACACCATGGTATAGTGGAAAGGACATGAGCCTGGGTTCTAGTCTCAGATGATGCATTTCCTAGTTATTTCAACTTGGAAAAGTTCCTTCACTTGCTGAGGACTCACTTTCCTTATACATAAAATGGAGGTCATAATGATCTAGCACTGGCTAGAATATCCCTTCCCTCCCTCTATTTTCCCCCTTCTTCTCTTCTCCTTTCCTCTTCTTTCTCTTTAATTGATGTCTTCTGGTTTTATATTACCTTATTTCTGAATATATCCTCTTCCAATCCTATTACTTAGAATGGCATCTCTTGGAAGGGAGGAAGGAAGGAGAGAGGGAGGGAGGAAGGGAAGGAAAGGGAGAGAAAATGGGGGGAGGGAGTGAGAGGGAGAGGGTAAGGGAGAGGGAGGGAGAGAGAGAAGCAGTTTGACAGTACATACCATGTTTGTCATGCATAGCCCCCACCTCTGCAAAGAAGGAAGAGAGGTTTTTCATAATGATCTTCATGTCAGCCTTGGAGTTTCACAACAATCCTTGTGGTCCCTACCCCTCTGTGCTGTGGCTTTTGTCAATCCTAAAGAGGTTTCTGAATGAGATTTCATTGTCAATCCTTCATATATGGCCTTGGAGAATCAGAATGAGGCAGGCATCTAGATGTCCCCATGTCTCCTCTCTGCTCCCAACAGGGGTGTCGCCCTTCTGCTTCAGAAGTCACACAACCCGAGAAGCTCACGTTGTTTCTGCACTTGATTCTATCATTACATCCCTTGCCTTTCACTTCCCAACCCTGTGGTCTGCAAAGGGTGGACAGAAAGACTCCTGGGCAGAACAGAGCAACAAAGGAGAACTTAATTGTGCAGGGAACAGGGCAGGGTTAGGTCAAAGGTCCCTTTCCAACTTTAGGAGTCTATGAGTTCACATTGGACCTACACTGAGAACTGGGAAAACAGTATGAGCGATAAAGTGGGAATACAACAAAGCATAGGTTCTTAACCTTTTGCTGGGGTCACATACCCCATGGGCGACAGTCTGGTGAAGTCTATGGACTCAGCAGAATCATGCTTTTAAATGGATAAAATGAAGTAGAAAGGATTGAAAAGGAAATCAATTATATCAAAAATAAGAGTTATGCTTTTAAAAAGTTCAAGGAAGGGAGATGGAGACACGAGCTCTGATTTTGCCATTAACTCCTAGAGAGGATGCTTTCTCTGCCAGTACAGATCATTTCTCTCCAAATTTTAATCTTAGAGAATTGCCTAGAGCATTTAAGAGGTTAAGTGACTTGTCCAGGGTCACACAGTCAGTATATGTCAGAGGCGAGACTTGAACCCATGTCTTCTTGGTTTCAAGGCCAGCTCTTTACCTTCACCATGATCCTTCCCAACATGAGGAAAAAAAATACCAAATGGCAATCAAACTCTGAATTGTTGAAATGAAATTTTAATCCTAGAAAATGCATAAAGAATCTTCCCTCCCACTTGAAAGGGGGAAAATTACAATTTAAGAATATTGCATACAGTCTCAGGTGAGTTACTGGGTCAGTTGTTTTTGCTTGACTACTTTTTCCTTTGCTATAAAGGAATGGTTAATGATGGGGGAATGGAAGCAGCATCTCATGCTCAAAGAGATCTATGATGCAAAAAGCAAAAAAAAAATTGGGGGCTGGGAGGCAATTTGGGTTAAGTGACTTACCCAGGATCACACAACTAGTAAGTCTCTGAGTTGGATTTGAATGCCAGAGCTGTTGCTGTATCCATTGAGCCATCTAGCTGCCCCAAATTTTTTTAGAAAAAGAAAATTTTATTCCTTTGAGAGTAGATACAATTTCCAAAAACAGTCAAAAATCATTAGGATTCACATATGAATACTATAAGTGGATCAATGGGACATTGTGATATTCCTACCAAATCCTTAAGACAGGCTTTTGCATGTGGCTTGGAAGACAATTCCCAAATAGGGGTCCAGAAACATTTTAAGCAACAGCTGTCTCTCCAAGGGCTTCTTCCAAAGTACTACAGTCATTTAGAGGGCTATAGTCATACTTGGCCTTTTGGAAAAATGTATAAACAAATACACAGGATCTTAGAATCATAGATTCAGAGCTAGAAGAGAACTTGGAGGATATTTAATCTGACTATAGCATTTTATATATGAAGAAACTGAGTCCTAGTGAAGTGACTGTGATTTGCCCAAGGTCACTCAACTCATAAATAAGAAAGGTCCTGGGATTCCATACTGAGCTCCATTTCCACTGTAGTATGGTACTCTCATTCTTTTACAATCATCTGTATTTCAGTGAAGCTAATCCATCCCTTGTCCTGATCCACATGTCTCATGGAACCACAGAAATGTACTGCCTAAAAGGAATACAGAAGGATGTATGACATCTATGATAAGGAGTTGGCATATAAAGCTGACCCAATGACCACAGAATGATGCTGCCACTCCAAAGAATGAATGGAAGAAACATCACTACCTTGGACAGAGGCTCTTGCATGTAAATGACTGGCAGCAGAGGTGAGAAGGAACAGCTATCCTCTACAGAAACTCCTGTCTTCCTCCCCATGGCATGCAGGGTACAAAACAGGCAGGTTGGACACAGGGAGACCAACTGTGAGAATAGAAGGAATAGACTTTGAAACCTCCAGGTGTATTTAGGAAGGATAAGCAAAGTACTGGGCAGAAAATGAAACATCAAAGAGAAAGGAGGTAAGAAAGGAATGGGCTAGAGATACTGTCCAACTTGGCGATGGGACTGAGGCTTTTCTTGTCACTGTTTCTAAGAAATCTTTATGAAGCACTTCAAAGGTGAGCACAGGCCAGGGGTGTGTGTGTGTGTGTGTGTGTGTGTGTGTGTGTGTGTGTGTGTGTGTGTGTGTTGTGTGTGTGTGTGAGAGAGAAAGAGAGAGAGTGAGAGAGAGGCCACTAGTTGTATATGGTATAAAAGTAGGCACAGAAAGCAGAGACTCAGTCTCAAGAGTTTTCGTTGCTTCCCTGTGAAAGGAACCAATGAAAAAAGAAGGCAAGGCTGATAGAAGACAAAACAAAAAAATACCATATTAACTTTTAAAAATATTAATCCAAAAGAATGTGTGGAAATGGTTCCTTGGGCAGATAAACTAAAGGATTAATTAGTTTCCATAGTAAGCAAGGGAGGTGCTGGGTAAGATTCCCTGAACCAATCCTTCCAGAGGTTCTTAAGCCTAAACTCTGAGTCACCTGCCTTTATCATTAGATGCTGTTCTTTGCTAGTGACCTTTGAAGCATCCAGTTGACCTGAAGTACATATTATAATCAGACCTTTTTCCTGATATGCTAGAGGAGTTGGTAGGCAGGTTGTAATAAGAGATCTATAATAGTCAGACCCTGAATGACCAGTGTCAACCTTTGAGCCCACTGGTTATGTATGGATATGTTAAAACAAAACCAAATCTCAAAATCAAAAAGTCAGGGCTAAGAGAGGCCTGAGAACATGAGATGCCAGGGCTAGGAGGGAGTTTAGAATGTAGAATATAAGGACTGGGAGGATCCTAGGAAAGGGAAAGTCAGATCTTGGAGGGACCTTAAAAATTTCATGTCAGAGCTGGTAGGTGGGAGTATGGTGGGGGCTATATTACAGCTACCATTACAACAGCTTCTAATAAAGTTATAAATAATCTTTAGGATCATCTAATCCTGAACTTTAATTTTAGAGAAGAAAAACTAAGTGTCAGTGAGAAAGGACCTCTCTAAGGTCCTGAAGCCAGTGACCTCAGAGGTCATCTACTGCAATGCCTCCATTTTTCAGAAGAGGAAACAGTCTTAGAGAAATACAGTCAGCTGCCCCTGGTAAAAGAGGTGGTAAGTACCAGAGACAGGATCTGAAGTCACATATGTGGACTCCAAATCCAACATTCTCTCTACAACCCCACTGGCCCTGTAGGAGTGGCTGCCAGTAATCTAATTATGAGTAACTGAGCAAGTTTGAACTTCCATCTCCGAAGAGACTGGACCTTTCATTCTCATAACTCATTCCCCATGCCAAGTTTTCCTACTTTTGAGGATTCTTCCATTTCAGAGTTCTGTGTCACACAGAGAGAACAGCAAGGCCCATCAGCATTTCCTTTGATAACTGACTCCCTCCCCTAGCCAAGCAACAAGGCCCCACACAACTCAACATCTGTCAACTTCAAACACTCATACACTTAGGGCCTTTGATCATGTGGGGCCGGCCATGTGTTCAGGAAGATTCATATACCTTTC